GGGATTTTTTTGGTCTTGGACATTTGCTTCATCTTCCCATATCTCACATTACAGACTGCTGAGGGTGGAGGTGACCCATCTCCAATCCCTGCCCAGGCCACCCAGTGCAGGCTGTGAGTGCCTCCAGGGATGGAGGCCGCACCACTTCACAGTGCCTTAACAGATTCACTCCAGTGTGTCCACGTCACTCTCGTACTGGGGAGCCCACGACTGGGTGCAACACCCCAAATGCCATTTTGTTCATCTTTAAAATTGTGGTTCTCCAAAAAAGCACTCGCATTCACTCCAGGGCATTGGGAGGAGCAGGCAATAAGCGCAGGCAGCAGAGGATTTGCAGAGCCCGTCCTTGACACCAGCTCCCAAGCACATCCAGGGAGAATTTACTGCTTTGGGTCTCTCATAAATGCCAAGCTGGTGTGTGATGGATGGGCTGGGCTGGGATGCTCACTGCTGCAGCTTCTGCAGCTGTCCCAGGGAGCAGCAATGAAGCACCACCACTATTTGGTTGGGGACGGGACGCACAGAGCAGGGCCAGGCAAGGGGGCGGCCCCGCATCAACCAGCACAGCACATCCCTGGGCCAGAGCTGAGTGACATGCTTAGGTCTGCTGGGCACAGCTGCACATCCTCTGATAGGTGAACACCCTCACCTCTCAGTCCCAGCACACACGGATGCACACACGCCCCTGTATGCACTCACATCCACTGCCTCGCGCTCCCATCCCGTGCACACAAAGACGCCATTGGAGCAAGTAGACAGAGCGATTCAGAGGATGGCTTGCTGGCAGAACCTTGGCTCTGCACCTGTGAACGGACAGTTTGGGTTTTTAAAGAAAACTGAAGGAACCACAGCGCTCCGCTGGGAGGGCTGCGGTGGGAGACGGGCGGTTCCGAGCAGAGAAGCCGCTTTGAGGTTGCAACATTCGCCATTTCAGCAATATGGGAACCCCACAGCTTTGCTGTTCGTAGGGTCCTGTCGGTAAAACATCCCCGTGCCCAACGGAGGGTACCGTGGGCTCCTGTATGCCGGTTCCGCCACGGCTCCGCCCGGCGCCCACTCTCCAAGTCGGTCCCGGCGGGCGGAGCCGCAGCGCCACCGAGCGGCCACACCGCGCTCCTACCGCCCGCCAACCCCTCTCGTCCCCCGGGTCGGGAAGGGAAACGCGACCCCTTCCGTGCTTCCGTCCCCGCTCCTCGCGTGGAACACAGCCCGGATGGAGCAAAGCCGCAGAGCGGTTCCCGAAAGAGCAGAAGCCAAAGTGTCGGCCAGCGGCGGCACCGCTGTCAGCTCTGCCTGCCAAGTCCTGCCTGGATCTTGTCCCGCTTCACCCTTTAGGGTTGATATTTTCCATCCTCGAGTCTTTTTCTTTCCAAGTCTCAGTGTAAGCAGCCAGGGCACAAGAAGCGCTGAAGCCCAGGACAAGCAAACACCCTGAGGTCTGCCGGAGGATGGTGTTCTGTGGGAGCTGTGGGAGATGCAAATGGATGGGAGCTCACAGTGAAAGAGCTCGCTGTTTTCCAGCTGTATCAGCACCTCTAATGAGAGAAAATGGCTTTGTTTGGCCTGTGTTAGAAAATACAAAATCAGTCACTCCGGTGGAAAGTCGTCACGTTGCCAGCTTGTGGAGCAGGGGCTTGGAGTGCTGCTTTCCCCTGTCTCCAGGAAAACCTGAAGAATACAGGCTGGTGACATGGAGAGGTGATTTGAGTTCTCAGCCACTCCAATGCGAGATCGGGGGCAGCTGTCAGCCGTGCTGCTGCACGTGGTCTCCATCCCGGGCTCCATCCCAGGCTCCTCTTTGCCCCGGGCTCCTGTAGGAATGTCACTCCCCTGTGACAGTGGGAACATGAGAAAAGTGCAAAGTTTCCTGCAAAGCATTTGCCTGTGAGAAGGAGAGCAGGAAAACAGCAAAAAGAGAACAGAATGGCTTGTCCCCTGTCACTGCAGGCATCCCCATAGTGAAAGGAAAAAGGGAACATTTTCTTTCTTCTTTTTTCCCACTGAAAGAGCAGCCCAAGAGCCACTCAGCACTACCTGCTCTCAGTTAAATATATGGCAAGTTAAGAAGCCAAACCAAGTAGCACTCGTTTAGGGGGGGTTCATCAGTTCCAGCTGCATGCCAGGCATCGATTCATGCCCTGCAGCAGATGGGCACCGAGGCTCTGCGAGCCCAAAGGTTTTGCTGTGTCTGCAGCAGCCCTCAGATCAATAAGGCTCTGCTGAGCCACGTCTCTGCTTCCGAGGCACCGTAATTAAGGGTGTATTTTTAGTAAAACGAGACGCCGTGTTCATCGACAAGGAACAGCCCCATTCTCAAGGGCAAAGGTGGCTCCAGTTAACCTGCCTCAGCCTGGAAATGGCTGTTGTCCCCCAGCCCAGCAACACCTGGCTGCTCCTGGATGCTGCACACACCCCACAATGGGGCTCCGCGCCCTGCGAGGGGCTGCACGGTGCAATGCAAACCCACGGGAAGATGCCCAGCTCCCATCCAGCTGCCCCAAACCCCCGGCACTCTCCCTTCCCTGGCTGTTTTCTCAGGAATCTTCCCCAGCATGAGGTGCTTGAATCATTTAGGATGGATGGGCTAAAACACAGCTGGCTCCCTTCCAGGCTTTCTGGCATCCCAGCTCAGTAAACAACCCCTTGCCACAGGTGGCAGCCCAGAAAAAGGCCTTTTAAGTTTATTCCCCAGACCCTGATTCTACAGAAATCTTCCAGCGCATTCATTTCTAGGCTGTAAGTGCAGAGAAATGGCTTCAGGCATTCGCTCCCTTTTCTAACCCCACCCTCCACCCCTCACCTTCACCAGATGGCCATCTCAGCTTCACCCTCCAATCCAGAATGGTGGAAAACGAGAGGGACACTTTGACTCAGCCCCAGCAGCCCCTTATGTGGCACCATGTGGGGCCTCGGGGCTGTGGGCAGGGATGATGGGAGGTTTGGGGGGAAAAGAGAGTGGGATGAAGGTGAAGAAGGATGGAGATGGGGGAGGACGACAAGGCCGCAGTCAGTGACACAATGGGTGCTCCAGCTTTTCTACATGTTGCTTTATTTTAGCAATCAGCCCCTGTATAACCTCATTCCCCAATCTCATCAGTATCTGCAACCCCATGGAGGTGCAGGAGCCCCCAGGGCTGCTGGATGAGCACCTGGAAGCTCCCACTGCCTGGACACGGCCCTATATCATGGACCATCGACACTACAGCCACCAGCATGGGGACAAAACCTTTGGCCACCTCTAGACATCGTCTTGTCCACACAGCCACAGAGCACAGTGCCCAGGATCACATCCAGGTGCCTTAGGAAGATCTCCAAGGAGACCCCACCAGCTCTCTGTGCAACCTGCTCAGCCACCCGCACCACACTGAGGTGCTGCTGATGTTGAAAGGGAACCTCCTGAGTCCCAGCTGGTGCCCATGGCCTCTTGTCCCAGCACCAGGCACCATCTGTACCTCCCTGCTGGTACTGAGGGACACGGAGGGGATGCTCAGAGCCCCCTCATCTGCAGGTTGAACATGCCCAGCTCTCTCGGTCTCCTGTAAGAAAGGTGCTCCAGGTCCTTCATCATCATCACAGCCTTTTGCTGAACTCTCTCACGTTTCCAGGGCTTCCTTGCAATGGGGAGCCCAGCACCGTGCCCAGCATCCCAGCTGTGGCCTCCTCAAAGCAGATCAGGACAAGATAACCTCAGCTTGCTGGATAACCTCAACTTTTTGGATGCCAACCACCACCGAAACCAAGGAGCAGTGAATTCCAGCTCCCTAGTCTCCCCTCCTGGTGCCACCAGCAGCTGCTGTAACTTGTTGCCATCTGTTATTTTCACTGTGTCAGAAAGCTTCTCTGCTGAGCACCAGCCCATGAAATATGCATGCTGTGTCCTCCCATTTCCAAACCACCTTTCTCCTCCTGCACTAAATCCCCTTCTCGCCTATTTGTCTTGTCTTCAGATTGGTTCCTTCACATCTTATGGCTTCCCAGACCATCAATAAGAGACACTTCCCAGCCCAGAGCTGACTGCTGAGCGATGGGGACGGGTGCTTGTGAGCATCACACCTCAGCATCCCACCACACGCACCTGGATCTGCATTTCCATTGGAATGCTTTGGCTTTCATTTTTAGACCTTGGTCTTTGTGGCCAAATCTGAGAGTAAAGCAACATGGAAAACTCAGAGCTGAGGCTTCACATCGCAGCTTTGAGCGGATTATTCCACTCTGGGGCGGTAACACAACGCAACGATTATAGGAAAGGAAACGGGTGTTTTTTCATCGCCAACATTTTGCCTCCTCTGCCTCCGGGCCCTTATTCTGGAGTATCGGCCGAGCCCGCAGGTTGCGCTGAGCATCGCCGGGCGCCAGATGGCACTTTGGGGCCGGCAGGAGGTTGGCTGGCTTCCTGCGCGATCCTACACGGGAGGGGAGAGGTGCCCATGCCCTGCTGCGCTGCCAGGAACCCGGCGTGGGGAGTGCGGGGAGGGAACGGCGGGGGACGGCGGGGGTGGAGGGAGGTGGAGGGGGGTGGAGGGGGAGGCTCAACCCGCAAGAATGGGGCTGCACGGAGCCCAGAGAGCAGCCCGACCCAGGTTCGGCGATACCCCCAAAGGAACAACCGGCGGGGCTCGCACTGACACCCATCCCGATGTCGGGACATCCCGCACCGGAGGCGACAATCCTCCTGTGGACGGCCGCGTGGGCTCGGAGATCCCTTAAAGAGAGCCCTTTAGCCCGATCCGAGGGGCTGGGACCGCACCGACCCCCCTAGGACCACTGGGCTCCCTTCCAATCCCTCCCCACCCCAACCTTTCCCAGTTCCGAAGGGAAGCAGCGGGCAGGACACGAGGCGGAAAGCCGGCCCCCTAGCCCGGGCCCGTGTCTGCGGGAACCCGGCGGGGCGGTGCCGGGCGGGACGTACTTAAGGCGGCGGCGTTGCAGGCGGGCGGCTCTGCAGTGCCCATGGCTCTACCGAGTGCGGTGCGGGCGCTCCACGCCACCGCTTCCCGCATGGGCGCCCCGCGTTCCGTTCCCCGCGGTGCCGCCCCGCCGTTACCGGCTGACGGGAAGGGGGGAGCCAGACCGGTACCGCCGCCGGTACCGCCGCGGGGTGCGGCCCCGGTCGTGGATTTTGGGGACCCGCAAGAGGCGTTCCGCAGCAAAAGCAGCGCCGAGCTGTTGCGGGGGTTGCTGGTGCTCGGGCTTTGCGCTGTGGGACCGTTGGTGGAGCACAACCGAGAGGTGAGTGCCCGGAACCGGGGGAGGGGAAGGGGGGGGTGAAAGAAGCGATGCGGGGCTGCGGGTGCCGGCGCTGAGGTTCCGACATCCCGCAGCTGATGCAGTTCGGGAAGCGGATGTTGGGCCAGGCGCTGTTCGAACGGCTGATGAAGATGACTTTCTACGGGCAGTTCGTGGCCGGGGAGGATCAGGAGGCCATCAAACCGCTCATCCGGCGGAACCGGGCCTTCGGAGTGGGCGCCGTGTTGGACTACAGCGTGGAGGAGGACCTGAGCCCCGCTCGGGCCGAGCGCCAGGAGCTGGCGTGAGCGCGGGGCGGTGGGAGGGCTGCGGGGGGTGGCGGGCGCGGGAGTTGGCTGCGACGCGATTGGCTCCGAGCGCCCATCCCCCCCGCTCCTATTGGCTGAAGGACGCCGTGCGTCACCGCCCCGCCTCCCGCGGCATCGCCCCGACCCCCGGCATCGCCCCCCAATGCCGCCCCCCGACGTTTCCCGTCCGCTTCCCCAAATTCCCACCCCGCTTCCCTCTGTTTCCATTCCCAGCCTCCTCCCGTATTTCAGCCCTTTTTCCTGCAGGCGACACGCAGTGCTGTCACTGTCACTGTGCCCCCCCCCTTATCTCTCCCAATGGCACGCAGCTGCGATGTCCTGCTGTGCTAAAAAAACGTCCCGAAACTCCGTGTTCCTTTCCGAGCAGGTGTTCCTTTCCCCCCCTCTTCCCTCCCTCCCCCGTCCAGCAGCCTTATCTCTGCCCCGCACCCAGCGCTGCCTATCGGACAGCTATAACCACGCTGCTGGCCCTGGCGGTGATGCGGCAGCAGCTGATCCCTATGTGCTTCCCCGGGCACGCAGCCGTGGCTCGAGTTGCTATCCGAGCCGTGCTCGGCATCCTAATGGAGTGTAAGCAGCTCGTGACGCGGGCGGGGGGGTGAGGAGGGGGGGGGAGGAGAGAGGTGACAGCGCTGCCGTTTCTGCTGTCCTTGTGCCGGCTGTGCCTGTACTGAGTGCTCCTGCCTTTAGCACTGAAAGCTGTCTGCACGCATTCTTTCCCTCCTTTCCCAGCACTGCTGCCCACTTCTCTCCGCCCTCCCCCCTTTGGTGCAGGTTATAGGGCTGCTGCCGCCATGGGGCTCCCACCCAGAAAGCTCCGTGCCCCCCTCCCTCCCCCCCTCCCCCCCCACTGTCACCCTGCCTGAGCCAGCCGTAGAGGCACAAAGCAGCTGCAGGCAGCGTGTCTGCAGCCTCCTGATGCCATCTGCTGTTGGAGTGCTGTGCAAAGCCTCTAGCAGCATGCTTGCGTGGAAATGCCCTTGTGCTTCCCCCAAAAAATGCTCCTCGTGATTGCAGCAGCATGGTACAGGTTGAACCCATGTCCTGGCATGCCTCCAGCCAGCTCAGTCCTGCCCTGCCCGGGCTGCTGTTCTGCACCCTGCCAGCTTGTCACGGGTGTCCTCCAGGTGCCACTATGAGCACTGCAGCCAGGTCATGTTGGCACAGCCAGAGGAAGGTTCCTGCAGGCAGTGCTGGTGGGTGTGGGATGCAGGCAGGTGGGGCTTTGCTCCCTGGGAGGGGAGAGTGGAAGAGTGCGTCAGGAACCAGGTGGGGTTGCACTGATGTGGGCAGGGAGGCTCCTTCCCCTGCAGCAGGGTTCCTCATTCCCAGTGGAGCCAGCTGTCAGGGCATGCTGCACATTAGGGTGCTTTCTGTTTGGCCTTTGCAGGGAAGTGCTGCTGCAGTCCTGGAGCTGTGTGCTGGAGCGCAGGCTTGCAGGATTTTCTGCCAAGTGCTTTGTTTCATTCCTCCCTAAGCAGTTTTAGATATTGCCCACAGCTTGAGTGTGGGCTTCCTGTGACCACAAGGCTTGCCTTGAATGTGGTCACTGAGAAACAGCTTCTCCTTTGTGTTTCACTTGTCCTCTCTGCCAGACCCACCTCCTGCTGATGGGGCAAAGCAAGCAGGCTCATGGCAGCCTCTAGCCTAAAATGCATTGCCACCTGCAGCTTATTTCTGACAAGGGCACCCTTATGCTTCTCCTGAGATAATGCATCCGAACCTGATCCAAAACTCCCTGAAAGCCCAGTTCTAGTGTTGGCCACATCACTATGCACAGCCATCCAGCAAGCTGGTGCTCCCTGCATCGCTGCATTGGCTCTTCCTTGATAAAGCAGAATGGTGCCTGCTCATTTTCACACTTCTGTTTGCATTTGATCCCAGGGCATCCTGCAGGTGAAGCATCTTTGGATTCTTTGCACCCAACTGGAGCATTCTGTAGGGCCTGGTTTGTGCAGGGCTGGTGATACCTGTGTGTTCTGAGCTTACACAGGGCTGAGCATGCCTTGCAAAGACTTGCCTTGCCTTTAGGAGCACTTGGGCAGTGCTCAGAGATGCTTCCTGCCCCCTATGGTCTGGAATAAGCTACTTCAGCTGGGCTAAGTGGCATTTGGGTGTTGTGGGAATGGCTCTGCTTGCCAAAACTAGCACTGCAAAGAGAGCAGCTGATATCCAGGAAGGGGCTATTTCTTCAGCTGGAAAGAGCTTCCTCTATTTTGTTTTGATGTAGAACAATAAAGTGAGCACCATGGCACTGCTTTAAACGCCCCCCCCCCCCCCCCAGGGATGGAGGGGTTCAGTGCAGTCATGCAGCAGGAATGCTGCTGGAAAGGGTGTGTTTGTCTTCAGGAACACAAAACACTTCAAATTCAAGGGGTGTTTGCTGATAACTGAGCTGCGTAAGCCAGAAGGGCTGTGCCTGTGCTGCTTGTCCCCAGCATACAGGTGCTGGATCAAGGTGTGCTCAGGGCTGCAGAACTGTCCTGCCTGCACCGAGAGCATCTTGCAGCCATCAGGGCTTTGCTATTGCATCTTTCTTTCCTGTTCTGGAGCAGCAAGGTTCCTGACCTGTCCCGGGAGCACCGCAGTCACAGAGCAGAAGCCAAGGACACAGCAGGTTGTGGCATGGCTCCTGCTGAGCTGCGGTTCACATGAGGCTTTGCTGTGCTCTGAGCTGCCCCAGGGAGCCTCCAGCAGGAGGAAAGGGCTTTGTTTGTGCTTCCAGCAACTCCTAATCCCTGTCGTGGGGTTCTCACGTGGGCGCTACCTACTCTGGTGAGGCTCCTGCACTGGTGGCATGGCTAATTTGGGGCAGTGATGCTGGGGTACTGCCAAGCAGAGATCTCCTGGGAGGAGATGGCTCTCCTGAATCAGACCCCTGGGGCTCCTGCATCAGACCCCTGTATGTGGGCTGGCTGTGGGGCAGCGAGGAGGCTTAGCTGCTCGAGCTTCAGCAGGAACTCATGACTTGGGCACCAGCCCAAGCTGTCAGTTCCCTGCTCTCTGTGACAAAAGGCTCAGGCTTGAAATTACATCCAAGTTGGCTGGGGCTGGGGCTGAGCTTTGTTTGTAAGCAGTTGGCTGGTGCTGACATGCAGTGGAGTGGGGCAGCTGAGTGGCAGTGGGGCTGTGGAACCCATGGCTTGGTGCAATCCACTCTACTCAAGCTCTTTGCTTTATAGTGTGGTGTTGGGATGAGGTTTGGTGCTCCCACAGTTTGAGGGCCATAGAGATCATGGAATGGTTAAGGTTGGGAAAGATCACTAAGATCCCCAAGTCCAACACCAACTCCCTCCCATCATGCCCACTGCCCATGTCCCTCAGTGCCACATCTACACGGTTCTGGAGCACCTCCAGGGATGGTGACCACACCACTCCATGGGCAGCTGTGCCAGTGCATCACTTCTCTTTTGGAGATGAAATGCTTCCTGATATCCAACCTAATGGAACACTCAGCTCCACCATAGATGGCCCTGTCCTTGCCACGTGGTGTGCATCCCCAACCACGGTGGGCTGGGATATGCCAAGGTCCAGAGCATCGTCCCTGTCTGCTCCTTAGGAAATGTTGTCTTGGGTATTGAAGTCTCTTTGCTTTCCGTGAGAGGATTTGGGGCACCTGAGCTGCCAACAAAGTGGTGTTGGCCCCGTTAGCAATGGGATGGTGAGGGAAGAACAGGGCATAGTGCCAGGCCTTGGGGCTGCCCTGGCCACCGGTGCGTGGCTGCAGGGTGCTGCTGGCCTTGTCCTCACCTTCCCTGTTTCTCTTCTTAGCTCCTGCACCTCTGCAGCCGAGAAGGAGCCAGGAGGTGAGTGATGGCCTCTCCTGCTCTCAGCAGATAGCGCCTGGCTGAAGGCCCAGCTGCTCCAGGCACCTGGGGGAAAGACTCGTTCCTCCTTCATGAGTTGGAGGAGGAACGTTGAGGTTCTCAGCTGACCCCACTCCTCCTCAGATGGGGTCTCAGGGGGCTCTTGTGAGGTGTGAGGAAGGAAGCAGGAGCTGGTAGGGCTCAGCAGGGGCTGTGGGGCACATCTCTGTCCTCTTCCAACCCAGGAGCAGAGCAGAGGGAGAAGCAGTTCCGTGCCCATCGTGGCTTTGGGGATCGTCGTGATGGAGTCATCAGTGCACGCACCTATTTCTATGCCGATGAGGCCAAGTGTGATCAGCACATGGAGACCTTCCTGCGCTGCATCGATGCATCAAGTAAGTCTTCAGTGTGTCCCTGTGTGCCTGGAGACACCAGGGACCCTGCCCCAGCCAGCCCTGCCCCTGTGACTCTTTCCAGGTGGTAGTTCAGAGGACGGCTTCTCGGCCATCAAGCTGACAGCACTGGGTAGACCTCAGTTCCTGGTGAGTGTCCATGGGGGTGAGTGGGATGGGCTGAGTTGGAGGGAGGACAGTGGGTGCTTTGGGGTGCCTGAAGCCACCTAGGAGATGGCCACAAGCTTTGGGAGCACACAAAAGGGTCCCAATGTGAGAATATGGATGCTTTGTACCAGGCTATGTTCTCACACTATAGGGTCAGGGTCTGTCTGTGGGGCTCTGGAGGGATCCCTTGGGGCTCTGAATCCAGACAGCTCACCCCAAGCTCTGTCCCCACAGCTGCAGTTCTCAGAGGTGCTGGTGAAGTGGCGACGGTTCTTCCACCAAATGGCTGCAGAGCAGGGCCAGGGCGGGCGGGCAGCGCTGGAGATGAGGCTGGAGGTGGAGAAGTTGCAGGTGAGCAGGGGGATATCCGAGGGGTGAGGTTGTGCTGCTGGGAGGGGAAGAAGGGAGAGTCTGACCGTCAGGGATGTGCTGCAGGAAGGGTTCTGGAGCACTGTGACACCTCTGGTGGGGTCTGGCTGTGCCTTGATGCTCCTTTTGGTGGCAGGAAGCCCTGGCCAAGCTCGGCATCGCAACCAAGGCGGAGAGCCAGCACTGGTTCACAGGCGAGAACGTGGGTGAGAGTGGGTAAGTTGTCCACAGCCTGTAGGGTGCTGTGGGGTGGTTGGTGCTGGGGGATCTGGGCCCTGCCACAACCTTGGGCTGACAGGCAGCAGCAAGGGGGGGTCCCCAAAAGTCATCGCTGATTTGTTGTGGCAACCAAGGGCTCTCAAAGCAGAGAGGAGTGACAAGCTGGGTCAGGGTGCCACTTGCAGCTGGTTTGCTGATGGGGTGGGAGCTGGTAGAGACCCTGCCATCAGCACACAGCTGACTTCCCACCCACAGCACTGTGGATCTTCTGGACTGGAACAGCCTGATTGACAGCCGCACCAAGCTCTCCAAGCTGCTGCTCATCCCCAACATCAAGGTGCGTGTGTGTGCTTCAGCCAGGCTCTGCCCACCAAGCAGCTCAGCAGTGTGGGCACTGCCAGTGTGAGGCATCTTGTCCTTGTCCTGGGGTGTGAGGCTGCCATCCTCAGGCTCTGCATGGCTTCTGGAGTCCCACACTGACCTGCTGCATGCAGCTGGTGGGGTGAGCGCCCCATGTGCAGCACAGGTTGAGGGGGTCTTGGGGTTGGGCTCCACTGGATGTTTGCTCCCCTATAGTGCTGCTGTGCCAGGCAGTGTTGAATGGGCTCTTCTCATTTCAGACCAGGCAGCTGGAGCCTCTGCTCTCACACTTCACCGAGGAGGAGGAACTGCAGATGAAACGGATGCTGCAGCGGATGGACGTCCTTGCCAAGGTGCAGGGAAGGTGGGGACAGGCACTGCTGCCGATGGGGACACATGGCAGGCAGCCTCAGCAGCCCTCTGTGCCTCCTTCACCCCACAGAGAGCCACGGAGACGGGGGTGAGGCTGATGGTGGATGCAGAGCAGAGCTACTTCCAGCCAGCCATCAGCCGTCTCACCCTGGAGATGCAGCGCCGCTTCAACAGGGAGCGGGCCGTCATCTTCAACACCCACCAGTGCTACCTGAAGGTGAGGCAGGGGATGGAGTGATGGATGGGGATGGATTGGTGATGCTGTAAGCAGTTCAGTGTGGCTTTGGGATGGCTGGTGGCACCGGTTTGGTGACCCTGGGCCATCTCTGCCCAGGAAGCTTACGATAATGTGAGTGTGGACGTGGAGCTGTCGCGCCGGGAAGGCTGGCACTTTGGCACCAAGCTGGTCCGTGGAGCCTACATGGATCAGGAGAGGGAGAGAGCAGCGAAGATTGGCTACGAGGATCCCATCAACCCCACCTATGAGAAGACCAATGAGATGTATCACAGGTAGGGGTTGCCCCCACCACGCTCCTGTCTTCCTCCCCGGTGTGATGGGGCAGCCTCACCACGCAGCCCCCTGCTGCAGGTGCCTGGACTATGTGCTGGAGGAGATCAAGCACAGCCGGAAAGCCAACGTCATGGTGGCAACTCACAATGAGGACACCGTCAAGTTTACCCTGCGCAGGTGGGTGCTGGTGGGGTGCCCAGTCCCTGCTCTACACACAGGACATAAAGGGTCTCTGCTCTTTTCTTAACATCGAGGTTTGGCTTGCAGGATGATGGAGCTTGGGATCCATCCTTCAGAGAAGAAGGTCTGCTTTGGGCAGCTGCTGGGCATGTGTGACCAGATCACTTTCCCCCTAGGTGAGTGCTGCAGCATCAGCACCTGGGAGCAAGCAGGATGTGGCAGAGGGCTCCTGTCCCACTGTCACACCAAGGTTTCCCTGAGCAGCTGCTGTGGGGTTTGAAGGCAAGATGGAGCCAGGCTGTGGGTTGCTGGCAGACTGGCTGAGGACTTCTGGTCTCCAGAACCCAAGGCCAGGGGAGTAGTGCAAGGCAGACTGGGCAGCTGTCCAGCATGGATACTGCTCTGTCCTGGAGTTCCCCCAGTAAGCAGGGCTTGGCTCTGGGTCTGCAGCCTCCTCTGGTCATGCTGGAAAAATGTGTTAACTTGATGTTTCTATTTGAATGCTTCTTAAATTGGCCCGGCCCTCCCTGCTGGCATTCCCAGGGCTGCCGGTGACCTCGGCACTCTCTCTCTGGCACCTTCCCAAATCCCTGTGCAAAGCAGGGAGGGGACAGGCTGCTGTGTTTTCCCCCCCAGCTGTCCCAGACAGGCTCCCTCCATCTGGCCAGAGATGCTCCCAGGCTTCCTGTGGGTTGCTCAATCCCATCCTCCAGCCCTCACATGCTGGGCTCGCCTTACTTTCCCCCACACACAGAGGCAGGGAGCTGGGCTGGCAAATGGGACATCCCTGTGTCCCCAGCCCTGGTTGTCTAGAAACCATCAGTGCTAACTGGAGTGCTCTGGGTTGCTATGCCTGGATCTTTGCCCTTGGTCACAGCAGTGCCAATGGTGCCTTGGAGGGTCTTTGGGGCACTTCCATGCTCTCCCTCTCTCCTTCCAGGTCAGGCTGGCTTCCCTGTCTACAAGTACGTCCCCTATGGCCCAGTGGATGAGGTGCTGCCCTACCTGTCCCGCCGTGCCCAGGAGAACAGGGGCTTCATGCAGAGAGCCAACAAGGAGCGGGACCTGCTCTGGAGGGAGTTCAAGCGGCGACTTTTGGCAGGCACCATCTTCAGCACCAACCCCTGACCCCTGCAGGACCCAACCTGTGCCCAGCAGCGGGGCTCTTGTGCCTTCGTGTTAACCACTAACCCAGCTCCTCTGCCTTGTTGTGTTGCTGTTTTTCCTCCTGAGGCCTTTGCCTGAGGGGGAGATGTTCTCTCATTGCTGTAGAACTACATCCTCCTGCTGGAGGCCACTACTGTAGGGCTGCCTAGCTGCCCCAAGTGATGTCCCTCTGCTGTTCTTTGGCAGAGCCAAAGCTCTCAGTGCCTTGTGACCATGCCAGCCCTGGGACACCTATCATGGGGATGGGATCTGTTCAGCCATGTCCCTGTGCTGCCCTGTGAGGCCAGGGCAGTTCTGGGGGTCAGGGAACCAGGAGTCCAGGGAGTTGGGCTGCAGCTCAGCTCTGCCAATCACTGCATTTGCAGCAAATTACAACAATTAAAGCACTGTTGCTCTTGTTCCTCAAGTCTGTGCGTAGCGTTGGGTTCTGCATTGCTTCCCTGATAGCAAAGGCTGGGGGGTGCTCCAGCCAAAGCTGCAGTGTGCTTTCTCGCAAGGGTGCTGGATGCAGCAGCAGGGGGAGTTGCGAGGCAGAGAGCCCATACTGTGCAGCAGCCATCGCAGCAGCTGTACTCCAATGCTGGGAGAGGTCCGAGCACACGTGAGCAGGGCTCCTTCCAAGGGGCAGAGCCTGGCTGTGTCCCCACCGGATGGTGCTGAGTGCCCCAGGGGCTACGGCACGGTCCTTCCCCGGGAAACAGCTGCAGGGAATTCTTGAACCACTGACAAAACAGCGTATTTTTCCTTTGCTTTGTCTTTGGAAATGCTATAAGGCTGGGGTTCCTCTCTTTCTCTTTTGCTGGTGTCTTCCAAAGCATGGTTCAGTGGGAGGAAAGCACCTGGCAGTGCAGCTCCAGCCCAGAGCCTGAAAAAGGAGCTGCAGAGTTGGAATAGAGAGCTCTGAGGTGGGCTCCTGGAGCACCAGTGCTGCTCCTCTTAAAGGCAAAAACCTCATTGGGACCAGAGGGAGAATAGGAGCAGTTGTGGCTGATGTCCATGGGGTGTGCATCACCTCCAGCTCTGAGGGTGGGCACCGGAGCAGCCCTGCTTTGGAGGCAGCCTGAGGGTCCTTGTGCCTCTTGGGGAATGAAAGGTTCACAACACATGGATGGATGGATCCATCCTGCCTGTAGGACAGGGCCAGGGATCTGCTGCCAGCACTGTGGATACAGGGACAGGGGACATGGCAGGAGTGGAGAGAGGTGCTCAATGATTTGAAATCTGAGGTCAGGGAAGGCAAGTAGGTGGGTGACAGTTGTAACACCCAGGGAGTTGGGAGATGGTTTCTGCACAGGCAGACAGGGTAGGAGGAAGCTGAGTGCAGCTCAGGAACGGTGTCCCCATCCGTGTCATTTCAGGGCAGCGACATCGGTCCCCAATGGCTGCCACCCCCCAGCCCCTCCCTCTGCACCCGTGGCTGCTCGCATCACGATCTGCCCGTGCACAGGGACAGGGTGAAAGCAGCTTCCAGGCATGGCTCTGCCTCACGAGTCCCCATCAGTGACCTGGGGACAACGCAGCTCCGTGGGAAAGTAGCCCTAGGGGGTCCTGGTTGCTCCGTGCTGTGGCATCGCTGCTCCATGGACCAGAATGTGATAAATCCAGGAGTCGGCGGTGAGCAGCTGCTCATCCACTCTCTTCACTCGCGGTGTTCGGGACACGCCCCGGCTCTCTCCCGTCAGATGCAGTCGGAGCATCCTCTCCTGGAGGCGTGCGGTGCTCAGAGGCGGCAATGCAAGAGATGCCCGCAGCCCCTCGGCAGGAGAGAACACAGCCATTCCTATTAAAACCATCGATCCGAGCGCCTGGGATAGCCGGTCCTGCACGGAGCGGCGATGCTCTGTAGTATTCAAGGGACACTGTTTGTGCAACCACGTGGCAGATGCTTGGCGTGTCCCCCGTCCACGCTAGGGATTTGGGATTGCTAGAAGCGCTCGATGAGCCCCCACACTTCCTGACTGTGTCCCTCTGAGGGAGTTACGAGTGGCTGCCGCTGCGGGCACCGCTCGGGCTGCCGGAGCCGGGCACAGCCTCCATCGGGGCTATCGGGACTCCGGGTCCTGCCGTTCTACACCCGCACCGCCGCTCCGCAGCCCGCACACCGCTGCCGTCGGGGCTCGGGGCCGGGGTCGGACGCGGGGAGGAGGCGGCGGCGGCGGCCCCCGGAGCCTGGCCCGCCGTCAGGGGAACCAATGCGGAATTTCCTGGCTGCCGGCGGGGCCCCTCCCGCCGCCGCCGAGAGGGGCGCGGGGGAGGCGGCGGCGGCGGCGGCGGCGGCGGCGCGGAGCTCGCACTGCAGTTTCCGTCCGCCGAGAGCGGCCGTCGGGGCAGGGCAAGGCAGGGCAGGGCAGGGCGGCACCGGGCACCGCGCAGCCGAGCCGAGCCCCGTATGGGATGGGCCGGGTCGGGCCGGGCCCCGCCGCGCCGACGGCCATGGCGGCCCTGGGGCTGCGGCCGCCGCGCCCAAAAGGAGCCGCGGTGCCGCTGCTGCTGTTGGCGGTGCTGAGCTGCGGAGCCGCGCAGGAGCTGAGCCCACGGGGCAGGAACGTGTGCAGGGCTGCAGGGTAGGAGAGAGGGGAGGAGAGGGCAGGTGGGGCCGGGCGGGCGGCCGGGAAGGGAAGGGGGGGGGAGGGCGCGGGCCTGGGAAAGAGCGGTGCGGGGCGGTGGGGAGGGGGCGATGGGTCCCATCGTGGCGGGGGAGATGGAACCGGGTGTCCCGGGTTCGGATTTTAGTGTCCCGGGTCCGGGTTTTGCTGTCTCGGGTCTGGATTTTTGATGTCCCGGGTCTGAAGCTGTGTGTCCCGGTTCTGAATCTTGGTGTCCCGGGTCCGGATTTTGGTATCCCGGGTCCAGATCTCGGTGTCCCTGCGCCGGTCCTGCAGGGAGAAGCCGGTTCTGAGCGCCCCGGGTGTGGTCCCGCAGTGGGATGCGGGATGCTGCGGGTGTCCCCCGCTGGAGCGGCTCCCGGAGCGCTCGGGGCGGCCGCGTTGGCAGCACAGGGACAATACTCGGCTTTGGCTTCAGAGCAAAGGTGCCATCCCCAGGGTCGCCCTCTGTCTGTTCCCCCCCCTCCCTTTCCCCTCTCGGGCTCAGTGGTCCCAAAGCTGCCTCATCCCGCCGAAGAGACCCCTATATGGGGGGGCGATGGGGGGAAGGGCAAGCCATAAATGCACCTTTTTACATCTCGCCCGTGAGGTCAGGAAAGTCCACAAGGAAAACATGTGCTGCGCGCTGGAGAGGCCGCATAATGGCTCCATTCAGCCCGGCCGCGGGGCGCTGGTGCCCCCTCCTCAAATTACAGTTTCCGAAGGAGGTTTTGCCAGAGCAGCACAGCCTCAGTACTCGGCGGGGGGGGGGAGGGAGGTTGCACCGGGTCTCCACATCCCCCTGTAAAACCGGTGCCCAGCAAAGCTGTCGCTTGGGGTGGCAGTGGGGCTGCAAGTGGTGACCCTTGGGGCCAGCCCAAGGAGCTGCGTCCATGCAGTTCTGTGGATTGCATAGGGTAGGAGAAAGGGATGTGCTTTGGAACTGTTTGGTTTGCTGTGTGCTAAATGTGACTGCTCCTCTTGAGCTCAAAGCTCTTGTTGAGTTACCATGTCCCCCTTCTGTTGGAGAAGCAGGGGTGCAGGGTGATGAGTGCAAGCGCTGTGTGTGTGGGAATTGCTGTCTCCCTAACTCTCCTTTGGCCATTCTTTTCCTGTATGAAGAATTTCCTTTTTGCCACACAAGGCACCGAGTGACGGGTGGTGTGGAGAAAGAAGGGGCTCGGTGCCAGGGTGATGCTGCTCCCCAGTTTGGGCAGTGGTGTGTGAGCACTGGGATGGGCGTGCAGCTGGAGCAGGTGGCAGCGGTGCTCTGGGCTGTGGGGTTTTCACCTCCATCCGTTTGTGCAGCTCCCAAACTCTCAGTAGGATGCAGGACGTGGGATGCTCAGTGGGATGCAGACAATTCCCAGGAGCAGGGACAGCTCGGGCTTTGCCCCATTATGTGCTCCTTTTCATCTGCACCAGTGAAATCCCCATCAGTTTGGCAAAGTGATTCTTTTTCCCCTTTCTCGAGGGGAAAAGGCAGTAAAACAGAAAGAGAAGGGATGTGCCGAGGGTAGCAACGGGTCCGTGGGCAACCTGAAGGATGCTCTGAGGCTGAGCCCCGGTCCCAGCTGTGCTGTGGGGTGCAGGGAGGTGGGTCAAGCTTTGAAATCTGAGCGCGTTGGTTTGCTGTCAGAGCAGCTGATAAGGGAGGGGAGGCTGAGCGGGGAGGTGTCGGACATGGCCCGGCGGAGGCGATTAGCTATCTGCCAGGAGATAGCTTTAATCCCAGTGCTGCGTGTGGGCTGCCCTTAGGACCCACTCATGGTGCTTCAGTCACAGTGCAGCGCTATGGGCGCCGTGGTCCTTCCTTGGGCAGGATGACCCCCTTCCCACCCATCCCCAGCAGAGCTCATGGGGCTTTTGGGGAATGAGACAGCACGGGCACAGCTCGTTGGACTCCATCATGGCACATTTCAACCCATGGAGCCCGGTGGATTTCACTTTGGGTCCTCCTGTCCCCTCATGGAGAAGCTTTGATTGGTGCCCCATTGCCTTTCCTTGTGTGTTTCATCTCCCTTCCAGGGCACAGACCCTGCTCCAGCCCTGGGCTCAATCACAGCGCTGTGTAATCTCACTGACGGACGGAATGGATGGAGCTATTTTGGTCTCCAGCTGCAAGGCATTTTTTCCAGGCCCTGAATCATTTTTGTGGTTCCTTTCTGCCTCCCGTCCAATTTTTCAACATCTTCCACGAGAGGCAGCCACGGTGCTCCCATGTTGGTGCTGCCCCATTCGGCCCAGCCCGTGTCCCACCGGGGGCTGCTCCCTGCTACCCCCCAGCCCATAGCAGCTCCTTCTGGCAGCCAGACGTGGTCCTGTGACTGCGCTGCGTTTCACGAATACTTCCTCACTGTCTCCTCCTCCTCTTCTGCATTTGTTACATATAAAGGAAAAAAAAAAAGAAAAGCTTTGCATTCCAGGCTCTGCCACTGGTCCAGCCCATGTCAAGTTTTCCTCGACTGCAGCATGCCTTTGGATTGCTCCAGAGCCTCCGGGATTGCTCCCATCCATGGGGTATAGCTCCAGTTGTGCGGGCAAAGCTGCACAAACTGAAGGATGTGATGGGTTTGTGCTGAGAAGAGGACGTCCCCTCCTCATGGGGTGTCCCTGTGCCCCTCTTCTGAGGGCTGTAGTGGTTGAGAGGTGATGGGGTGAGATGCCACCATCCTACCTTGGGATGCCATCCCTGTGCTGCCACGATGCCAGGCACCAAACCCATCTGTAGGTTACCTTAAGCACTCCTTGGCTTTGCCCTGGCTTTCCTCCTTCCTATCTATTATTTTCCAATGCCTTGGTTAAGAATATGCTCATTTTAGTCTATCCTTTAAATCACATCTGGTGGTAAAATAATCCAAGCCATTTTCTGCATGTGGGGCACACAGATGTTGGGTACGGTCATCCCATGCCCAGCACTGCTGCTGTTTTCCTCCTTGTTCTCTGCTGAGCCCTGCGCTGAGCTGGGTACCCCGCGCCAAGCATCTGCATGGCAGAATTGGTTCTTGATATCATCACAGCATCACTGGCAGGTTTCCAGGAAGGACAGCAGCTTTCCAGATATCCCATTTGTGGACTTATTTTTCCTGCAGCTCCTCGGTGCTCGTGTGCTGCCCAGGATGGAGGCAACAAGGAAGCGAGTGTCTGATAGGTAAGCAGCAATGCTGAGGTTGTGAGACAGCCTTGGAGCTGTGTAGTGCATCCCAGCTCGCCTTGGGGTGCAGCCCTTGGACACGAGATGCAGTGTGGTGACCCCTGCGTGCTGCCACAGTGCTGGAGGGCTGTGGCAGAGGATGAAGGCACAGCCACGTGCCATTGCAGAAAGGCACCGGTGCCACCGAGCCCACAGGAAGCCAGGGCAGCCCCTGCTGTGCCACCATGCAGGATTTGGGGATCCTGTGTGTCCCCTCAGTTTGGGGTGGCAGTGGTGCCCAGGCAGCCGGTGGGCTGCAGACCCCATAACCAACTAACTCACCCTGCATGCGCCCTCATAACCACTCGCTGCATGCAGCTGGTGCAGGAAGGGAGAAGGATGCGCAGTGGGGGAGGATGGTCCCGCAGCAAACTGTCCCCATCTCCTCTCCCCACTTTCCCCCAGGCTGCTCTAACCATTAGACTCACTGCCTCTAACCTGTTCCATCTGTCTATTTTAGGGTTTTCTATAGTCCCCATCACCGTAGGTCTAACAACGGCCAGGTAAGGCGCTCGGTGTGGATGCTCTGTTCCCCCTCTCCTGCTGGCCAAGGGCACTTTGTGGGGCTATGGGGCCAGCACCGTGCCATGCCCCAGAGCTCGCTCCCCTTTAGCACAGGGGAACTCGTGGGCTGGGGGTGCTGGGGCAGCACCTCCATAGGGAGGTTAGAAGGAAGGGAGCTGTGCTGGTGGCTGCTTGTGTTCCCCTGTCCCACGTCCCACATCTCACCTGCAGCACAGGGATGGGTGAGCAGGGTGGTAGGGGGCTGGGGCAGGGATGGAGCCGGGGATGGTGGCAGGAAGATGGTGGCATCACCGCTGTGATCGGTGACCCCTGTGGTGCTACCATGCACCCCGTCCCCTGCTGTGGGGTTGGGGACAGGGATGGGATGAGCCTGGTGGCACACAGTGGGGACCATTCAGCTGTGTCCTCACGCTCTGTTGTTGGTCCATCTGCCCAGCCGTCTGCGAAGGGAATTTCACCTGCAAGGAGAACGAGGTGTGCGTGAGACCCGGCGAGTGCCGCTGCCGCCACGGCTACTTCGGTGCCAACTGCGACACCAGTGAGTACCAGTGGCACCACTGGGGCACCCCAGGGTGGGCCACCTCAAACAGGGAGCCTGTCACCTAAGCATGCTAGGAGCAGTGGGGATGGAGAGAAGCAAGAGGTGCCGCTTGCATGGGGTCACCCATGGCTGACTGCAGCGCTGTTCCACCTGCAGAGTGTCCCCGTCAGTTCTGGGGCCCCGACTGCAAGGAGATGTGCAGCTGCCACCCCAATGGGCAGTGTGAAGATGTGACGGGTCAGTGCACCTGCAACCCCAACCGCTGGGGCCCCAAATGTGAGAACATCTGCCTCTGCAAGCACGGCAAATGCGACCAGAAGACGGGCAAGTGCACCTGTGAGCCCAACTGGTGGGGTCCCCAATGCTCCAGCTCCTGCTATTGCAGCCACAATTCCCAGTGCGACCAGCAGACAGGAAACTGCCTGTGCCAGCCGGGCTGGTGGGGCCGTGGCTGTAACAACCAATGCTCTTGCAACAACTCACCCTGTGAACAGTTCACCGGACGCTGCCAGTGCCGTGAGCGCACCTTTGGGCCCCGCTGTGACCGCTACTGCCAGTGCTACAAGGGGAAGTGCAACCAGGTGGATGGCACCTGCACCTGTGAGCCGGGCTACCGCGGCAAGTACTGCCGTGAGCCGTGCCCAGCTGGCTTCTATGGGCAAGGCTGCAGGAGGAGGTGAGCGCTGGGGCACGAGGAGGGAGGTGGGAGCTGTGGGGTGCCATGTGCCACGTGTCCCTTGGTTGTTGCAGGTGTGGGCAGTGCAAGAGCCTGCAGCCCTGCACCGTGGCGGATGGGCGCTGCCTGACGTGCGAGGCGGGTTGGAATGGCACCAAGTGTGACCAGCCCTGCTCACCTGGTTTCTATGGGGAGGGCTGCGAGAAGCTCTGCCCCCCCTGCAAGGATGGCCACACCTGCAACCATATCAATGGCAAGTGTTCACACTGCAACCCCGGCTGGATTGGAGACAGGTGAGTGCTGCACGGCCCAGCTGGTGCATGCTGGTGCAGTGCTGCGTCCCTGCATGGGGTCTGGGAGTGGGTTCACAGCTGGGGCAGCAGGAATGGGCTGAGCCTGCTGGCATGGCCATGGGGCCATAGGGAGCCTCAGGGACCCCAAAGCCATGGGGCCATGGGATACACAATGCCACGGTGCTTCTATCCGCTCAGTGACCTTAACAAACAGCGGGGCTCAACTCTGAAACTTTCTTGGAGCCACCTGGGGTTGGGTCTGAGGCTCTGCAGCACCTTTATGGGGCCGACAACACCCAGCCCCATCCCCTCACACAGAACAAATGGGAAACAGAATAGGATGACCAGGATGGGCACAGTGGGGGGCACCATGAGGAATCCCCTCTCCGGTGCTTCAGCTGCCTTCACCTCTCCCCAGGTGTGAAACCAAGTGCCGCAACGGGACGTATGGGGAGAACTGTGCCTTCGTCTGCAGCGACTGCGTCAGCGGCGAATGCCACTTCGAGACGGGCCGCTGCCTGTGCCGCGCCGGCTCCCACGGCACATAGTAAGCAAACCGCTGCGGGACCCCGGGCACTCAGCACTGCTTGGCATCACCTCCATCCCCTGTCTGCTCCTGCCCCTGGTTGGGGTGGGGGTTCCGAACAAACCTGAGGTGGCAGCACCCGATCCCCCTGAGCTCAGCAGGGCACTCTGCAGGGCCACCGTGTGCCTCTCGCTGAGCTGCCAGATGGGGTTTCTTGACGAAAGGATTTTGCTTTAGGAAATGGCCATTTGGCAAAAACAAATGCCTTTGACAAAACTCGGTTTTTTTGTATGTTTTTTTTTTTTTTTCCCCCAAGTTCAGGGTGGAATTTCTAGCTGAAAACAGAGAGAAAACCACATCCCAGAATAGCACATAGCCTCACGGGTATGGCATCTGTGTGGTGCTCCCTCTCCCAGCAGCAGCTCTCACTGGGGGCTGCTCACCCAGGAGGAGCACAAAGCCCCCCAGCCCTTTGGCTGTGCCCATCTGCAACCAGCAGCAGGCCCTGTCCTAATGCATGCTCGTCCCCTTTGCTTTCTCCCAACGTGAAATAGAAGTGCTGTCTGAAAGGAAAGTGGCTGGAAGCACTGGAGGGAAGGCTGCTGAAATGTCTGCAGTGGGCATAAAGCCCTCTATTGCTCCACATAATTCCCATGGTATCTCCTGAAATCAGTCCAGCTGGGGTAGAAATATGGGTCCAGCTGATGGGAGTAGCTTGGACTGTCTGGGAGATATCCCTGCTCCCATCCCTGCATCCCCCTGCAGCTACTTGTGGGGGTTCAGGGCACGTGGCTCAGCCACGGCGGTGCTTTGAAAACCAGAGAGCGTGAAATGTGGCTGAGCCAAGGGAGCAGCTGCAGCCCCAGGAGAGAGAGGCTGGGATCGGGGCCACGGCGTTGCCAGCTGGGAGCAGCTGGCGTTGGGCTCAGGGCCATCAGCCCCGCTGCATCCATCCCAGTGCCCATGCTGTTGGCAGTGGGGTCCGACATAGCATCATCCCAAACTGTTGCTGCCCCCAGAACTCTGAGGACAGGATGCTCGGTGGGAGGGCACCCAGAGCCTGGGCTGTTTTGGGTGGTGCCCAACGCATTGCCCACCTTCCAGCCCTGGTTTGTGCTCCTCTCCATAGTGCTGAGCTGAGAGGCTGTGCCCTGGCAAGGAGGGCACTTCGGCCATAGTTGTTCTCCCTTCTTACATACAGTGAGCTGAGAGGTTTCCAAGCTCATGGGCTGCAGTGGAAGGGCTCCATGTGTGTGCTGGCTATGCATGGGGCACATGGCCACATCACATTAGCAGTGCTGAGCTGAGACCTGGTGCAGATGCTCTGCTGGGTTGGCACTGCTGATGGGTTAGTGACCCGTTGTCACTGCAGTGCTACAAGCCTCGTTGCAAAGCCTTGTGCAGCACGTGGGGGTGGAGGAGGGCTCTCAGAGACAGCAAACATGGGGACAAGCAGGAAGGTGGCACAGTCCCCCATGGGGATGCTGTCAGTGCAATCCAGCACTGTGTCACCTGTTTTTGCCAGAGTAGAATGAGTTTGGGAAAGGAGAGCAGGGAACATCCCCGGGATGCATCACCCCACCCTCACCCCTCACCCTCTCCCCAGCTGTAACCTCACCTGCCCGCCCGGCCACTATGGAGCCAACTGTGCTCAAGCCTGCAGCTGCCACGACGGTGCCTGCGACCCGCTGACAGGCGCCTGCCACATGGGTGAGTTGTAGGGTTGGGGTGCTGGGATGCCTGTGGCTGGTGTCTGAGCACGCTGTGTCTTGCAGAGGCCAACCAACGGATGGGGGTGATTGGGGCCGGAGCTCTGCTGGCGCTGCTGCTCATCCTCCTGCTGTCGCTGCTCTGCTGCTGCTGCGTCTGCCGCAAGAAGGATGAAGGGCACGGGTGAGTGGATGCTGGCAGGGAAAGGGGAGGACAGTGGGGCAGTTTTCCATCCTCATGAAGATGGGGAAAAGAGAGCACAGGGTGGGAGCAGGAGGACCCTGCACTTCAGGGGATGCCTCCTGGCTTTGTGTCCCTGTTGTTGGCTATCACCTCACTGGGACCCAGTGGGTCCCCAGGGCTGGAGCCTGCAAAGGGAAACCTAGAGCATGCTGAGTTATGGCTGCAATCCCCAAAATGGCGCGGGGATGAAGGCAGGAGTGTGCACAGCAGCTCCCACATCGGGGCTGGGCTGCAGGGTCTGCAGGACAAAGTGAGCCCCTCCAGTCCCTGCTGCAGGGATGAGGACAAGGGATAGGGATGGGGATAGGAGTAGGGATAGGGATGAGGATGGGGACAGGGATGGGGGTGGGGGTGGGGATGGGGATGGAGATGGCTGCTTATTGGGAAGAAAGGGGCCGGAGGAGCTCCACCAGCTGCACAAAAGCCGTCCCTCGTGCCGCCAGCCGCTGTGCAGGAATTTTCCGGAAGCCTCTGCTTGCAGCCGTGCCAGCTCCACTCCAGCCCAGCACATCTGGTTTGGAGAGCCTGTGGGCTGCATGTCATTATGCCGCAGATAAAAGGAGCCACTTCCCAAACTCAGTGCTGCTCGGAGAAGTCTTGCATGGGAAATAGCTCCAAAGAGTTTCCTCTCCTCGGGCGCTGCAGGGTGCCCAGATTCCCAACTGCCATCTCAATGTCCTGTCCCAAAGCATTCCCAGTGCCAGGAAGGGCTGTGGCAGGGGTACTGCAGTGGCCGTGGGTGCACACAGGTTGAGTGGCATTGCTGCACAGAGCCTCCTGCTGCTGTGGCTGCGGATAATTGCCTGAAAGCTCATCCCCGAGAGACTTTAAAACCAGAGAGCAAATAAAGAGAAGCCACGTGTTTGTTTGGGGTTGGGATTTTTTTTTTTATTTTTTTTATTTTTTCTGAAGTTAATCATATGATTCAAGGGCCTGGATGGGAGCTGTGGGTGTTTGGGGCACGGTCTGGCTGTGCCACAAGGCGAGCTGAAGCACACGGCTGGCAACAGCCCTGACCCCTGCCCTGAGCCATCCTGGGCTTCCGCTGGGGCAAAACCAATGGGGAATACACTCCTGTGGTATCTCTCTGTCCTGCCTCTTCCCCAAACCCTTCTTCATGTTCAGCATCCCTGAGCCTCCAGCTCAATGCATGGTTCCATGATCGATGGCCCCGGTGTGACCATTGCCCTGATGGGGTCGTTGTGTTTCCCTGCAGAGCAAATCAGGACCCAGTGGCAGCCAAGAAGCCTCCGAGGCGCTTGTGTGGGCGCTTCAGCCGCATCAGCATGAAGCTGCCACGCATCCCCCTGCGCCGCCAGAAGATGCCCAAGGTCGTAGGTGAGGCACCGAGGGGCAGAGCAGGGCCAACGTGTGTGACCTGCTGTGCTTCTCCCGGCCCCAAACCCATGCAGAGCGCACCAGGGCCAGGGAAACATCCCCACTGCAACCCAAACAGGGGCCGTATTTGTGGAAGGGGCTGAGCAGGGCTCGGGGAGGAGGACAGAGGGGGCTGTGTGCGTGGGGCTCAATGGGGCTGTGTGCGCGTTTCCTGCAGCCGCCCCACAGCAGCTGGCTCCCACCCAGCAGCGCTGTGTAAACACAGAGGAGAGGGAGGGGATGGCCCCAGCTCCAGGGCTCTGTGCATTACAACCTGCTGTGGGGTTGGGGCTATGCAGCGAGGCCACCCAGGACCCCGGAACAAAGGGATCTGTGCCAGCAGGCAACAAGGGACCCAGGCACGCAACGGCTCTGACCGCTTGGGGCTGGCCTTGGAGAAATAACATCCGTCCATCATCATCTGGCAGCACAGGGACCTGCAGCCCTGCTTTGCTAGGGGCAGGCAGGAGCCCCAGCACATCTCGGAGCTGCTGTTGGTGCTCCTCTTCCTCCAGCCATCCCCTTGGTCCCATTCAAGTCCTGGAGATGCCGCGTGGCCACAAGTCCCAGCACCCCGTCATGCCTTCTCGCAGGAAGCAGTGCGCTTCATCTGCTTCCAACGGTCTGCTTCTGATTTTCTCTTTTTGGGTTTTACAACAAGGAAAGTCATGCCGGAGTGGCTGCCTCCCCCACTCTGGGCCATTTGCTCTTTAAATATCTCCACTGCTTTTGCTCTGGCTCTGGAGTTTCTCTCAGCCTCTGCGTCCTCCCCCATCCCTTATACAACAGGGTCCCCTCATCTTGCTGGTCCGTTCCTGTCTCAGGTTTATTCCCTCTCACATAGACATCTCCATGATCTTTTATCCCCTGCACAGTGCTGTGTGTGGGGAGCATGGCTGCTTGCAACCATGGGTCATCCTAGGGTGGGTGAAGCAGGGCTGGGTCCTAGCAGGGCAGGCACTGGCTGATGGCCACTTTCCTGCCCTGGCAGTAGCTCATCACGACCTGGAGAACACACTGAACTGCAGCTTCATCGAGCCACCTTCAGTGGTGGAGCAGCCTTCCCCGTCCTGGTCATCCCGTGGTTCCTTCTCCTCCTTTGACACCACGGATGAGGGGCCAGTGTACTGCGTGCCCCATGAAGGTGAGACTCACGGGTGCTTCCCTGGGTGCTGCATGTAAAGATGAGGGCTGGAGGTGGCCCTGCGATGGGGGAGGTGGGGGTCCTGTGGCATAGGGGGACCTGGAGGCATGCAGAAGAGGTAGGGAGGGACCAGGTGAGACAGGGCAATGTGGAGCCCAGTTTTGCCTCTATCCCACCACCGTGCATGGGCTTTTTTTTGCCATGAGGGCAACAAGGCAGTGCCATAGGGCCCAGAGAAACCCTATAAGTGGAGGTGCTCAAGGCCAGGCTGAATGGGGCTTTGGGCAGCTGGAGGCAGTTGTCTAACAACGGGATCAAGTTGGGCTGGATGGCATTTTAAGGCTTCCTTCCAACCCAAACCATTCCGTGCCTTCATGACACATCCATGCTTTCTTCCCACAGAGAGCGTGGGTGACAGCAGGGACAGAGCACCGTCCTCCAGCCCCGGTGAGAAGCTTGTGGCCCCAGCCAGCGGGGAGGAGGCAGCTGAGTACAGCTTCCTGAAGGAGACGGGCTCTGTCAAGGCCTTCCATGCCGACAGCAGCGAAACACCCCTGCTCAAGTCCTCGGACAGCGAGCGCTCATCCTGCGGGTCAGGCTCGGCCAGCGCCGCGCTCTATGCCAAGGTCGCCCGCCTCTCCAAGCATTCCAAGGAGGAGGAGGAGACAGCGCTGTCCCCAGAGAGAACCAAGCCCCGTCCTCCCGACCCGTCCACCAAGCCCAAGGTATCCTGGATCCACAGCCGTTACAACTCCAGCCAGTCCAACTCGCTGCCCAGCCGCTCCCCGGAGCCAGCAGCCGCCCGGCCCAGCAGCCCTGAGCATGGCCAAGGTTTGGCCAAGAGGAAGAGGAGCCCCAGCGAGACGTCAGCTGGTGTGCATGGCAAAGCAGAGGAGAAGGGCAGCGGTGGCACACGTGGCAAGGAGAGACCGCAGAAGCACGCCAAGGAGCCCGGTGTCCCCGAGGGCAAAGCCAACCTTGCCACAGAGCCCCAGTCGCCTTCAAAACCCAAGCAGAGGAGCAAGGCCAGCTCAGAGCAGATGGAGAATATCAACGGGGCGGTGCAGAACGCCTTCAAAAAGATGGGCGGTTTCCATGCAGAGCGGCGGGCCGGGGAGGCGCCACGCAGCCCCAGTGCCGGCAAGCCGCGCTCCGACACTCTCCATCCCCACCTGGCCTCCGAGGCGGCCACGCTGCTGGCAGCCCAGCTGAAGGAAAAGACTCAGAGCCTCAACAAGGCGGAGGGCAGCGCCCGGCCCAACGGGGTGGGGGCCCAGCGGGAGAAGCCCACTCCACCCCAAAAAGCCAAGCGTTCGGCAGCCGCCGGCAGCCAGAAGGCCAGCAAGCCCCTGCTGCCCACCTCTCCCAACCTGCAGAAACTGATCCCCGTCACGGCCGAGCCGGCGGCTGGGGGCGAGCCCAGGCGGGTGGAGAAACAAACCGCGGTCAGCAGCCAGGACCCGGCTCCTCCGGGCGAGCAGACGGTCAAGAAGACACCCATTAAAAAGCCCCCCAGGAAGAAGAGCCGAGAAGCCACCCTGGAGCCGCCCAAAGCAGCCGTGGTGCCCACGCAGACGGTGCCGTAATGGGGAGCTGGGCACCTGGGAAGGACTTGTGGTGCCTGGACTGGAAGAGCCCCCAACCTCCTCATTCCACATCTCTCCCCTCATCTCCTTTTCTCCTGTCAGCCCATCTCCTCCGCTGTCCCTGGACCTGGTACCCCCCCGGCGCTGTGCTCTCCACGCAAGGATGCAGGAGCCGGGGGCCCCCCCTTTTTTTGTAGCAGTATTATCGATCGCATAAGCAGTGCTTGTTGTACTAGACGTACCCATGTTATATTCTGCAGTAACGGAGCCGCTCGCTTCCCACGCCCCACTCCACTCTGCCAGGTCCCCACCGCAGCGCGGGGGCAAAGGGGATGGATGACACACGGGGCCATCGCCGGGGACATCCCCGTGTCCTCACCCAGACCTCCCTGCACTGCCACGTCAGCTTCTCCCCTCTCGGAGGTGCAGCCCCCGGTGCCGCCGCACCGCTCCCAGCGTGGGGTCGAGCTGGTTTCGACCGATGCCCCTGGCCCCAGGGCTGCTTGTGCTAGGAGCGGCAGCAGGAAAGCACTATTTAAGGCCCGGGCTGCACAGCACTTGGGGAAGCTGTTGTGGCTTCAGGAGGGATCTGGCCAGTGGAGTCAGGTAGATGGGTTTGGTACGACAGAGCCTGGCATCTCTGCAGAGCGCTTTTCTAATAAAAGTGTATTTCTTCCATACCCGGGTGCTGTCTCTCCGTGCCCCAAGCTGCCCATGGAGCATCGCCTGGCTTCACTCGAGCACTTGGGATGCGGGGTCCTGAGTGGGATGCAGTGATACAGGAATGGAGGATGTGTCCCAGTGTGAGGCCAGGGGGTGACCCCTAAAAATAACACTATTCAGCGGTGATGCAGAGGCACAGGATGCCCAGGGAGTGGTGGAGTCACTGACCCTGGAGGTGCTCAGAGCCATGGAGATGTGGTGCTGAGGTACGTGGTCAGTGGGCATGGTGGGGTGAGGTTGGACTTGGAGATCTTAGAGATCTTTTCCAACCTCAGTGATTCTGTGATTCTAGTCCAAGTTAGACCACCACATATTGTTTTATGCTGATTTTTTCTGCACGACAGGACTCTGAATCCCTTTTCCAAGCACCCCGCTGTGGCCTGCAGGCTTTCCCCCCACCACTGCACGTTGGTTACCTCTAACAGAGAGCATCATGTGATGCACAGCACTGTGAGCACTTTGTTTTATGGTTTCCAGCCTCTGTTGATTTGCGGATCCCTAAACAATTTCCCCTGCAGCTGTGAGCCCCACTGGAAAGTTCACACTTAGCATAAATAAACTCGCTTTCCTTCTCCTCTTGAGGCCTTTGACCTCAAGGCATAACCAGCTGAATCCCATCACGAGAGGAAGTTGTAACACGGAATAATAACATAGAATGAGGGAATACAAAAGCAAGCAGGTCTTTCTCCCCCACTCCTCCCCAGGGATGATGCCCAGGTGGCATCATGGCACAGTGATCACCAACCCTGCAATGGGCACCAAGCACATGGTGGCCCCAATCCCCCACCAACCCTGTGCTGTTCGTGTTTTTCCCATTTTGTCCCCATTTCCAAATAGCAAAAGAGGAGCCGTCGGGTTGGAAAACAGCACATTTGTTTTGGCTTGTCCCAGAGAGCGGCGATAAAAGCGAACCCGATTGCCAGCTATTCATTTCCTATTTCAGGCCCTACCAAAAATAAACTCAAAAAAAGGGAAATTCAAATGAGAATGAAATATGCATGAGACAGCGAGCTGCTAGGGTTGTATAAGGAAGCACTCGTCGCTTGGGGAGCAGCAGTGCTGGCAGTGTTTGATGCTGGGGGGGATTGCAGGGGGCTCAGGCACTGCAAACAACGCATGGACCGTGTGCAGCGCCTCAAGTGTTCGTGGGCATAAATGATGGGGAGCAGGAGCCTTCTGCGAGCAGATCTGAGAGCCTGAGCTTTTGTTGTAGCTCTGTTCAGTATAATTTAGGAAGGCATGAGTGCATATGCATCCAAGCACTCCAACAAGACCGCTTTGACAGAAGATGGACAGAGGCATCCCACCACCACTACCTGATTTATCCCCGCGCCTGCGCTGGCCTGGATATGGGGGAGTGCTCGTGCTTGTTTAGTCTGTATGGGAGCACAAATCATGGCGCTGTGTCATGACTCTGCCAGGGTCTGGATTTCATTAGGAGCCACATGATCAGTGCGGGCTGCCGCGGCTGGCTGAGCTCCCTCTGTGCTGCACAAGACATGGGGGTGATGGCCGAGGCGCAGTGCTCAGCATCCTGCCCACAGGTGACCCCAACAGAGCCTTTTCATTCATTGCATCCCCTGTGCCCATTGCGGCCCTTGCATCCTTTGCACCCCTTGTATCCTCTGTATCCTTTTTGTTCCTTGCAGCTTTTACAACCCTTGCAGCTCACTGCATCCTTTTGAAGCTCTGCAGCCCACTTTGCATCCTTTCTGCCTCTTAGAGCCCTTGAAACATTTCCAACCCATTGCATCTTTTGCATCCCTTGCACCACTCTCTTGCATTCTTTGCACCCCACTGCATCATCTGCATCCTTTGTGCCCATCGCAGCCCTTGAATCCTTCACATCTCTTGAATCCTGCTGTAGCCCTTGTATCTTTTGCATGCCTTGCAGCTGGTGCCTCTGTGCATGTGCTTCTCTCTCTCACTCCTTGCTCACACGCAGGCTGTACCATAGGGTGGTATGAACATATCCCCCAGCATCACCCAGCCCTGCTGACAAATCTGCTCTGTGAGCAGTGCAGACACGAGGGGCCCAGAACACCCCCTCCAGCCACCAAGTCACAACCAGCTCCTCCATAGAGACCCTGTGTTCTCCATGGGAGCCCCTAAATCCAGACCTTAGTTTAGCTACAGCTCAGGCTGAAATTCCCGTTCAGATGCTCAGCTCCTGAGGCCATAGCAGGGGAACACATTTACTGCACAGCGCTCGTTAAGTTTGGATAAACCCAGTGTACCCAAGGAGGTGGCTGTGAGGCTCCCGTGGTCCCCCCTCACCCAGGGGATGAGTGTGCAGGGGACTGAGGTTGGATGCAAGGCTACAGAAGTACCAAGGGTGGTGACCACACACCCAGCACACCGGCTGGCAGAGTGCAGGACGGGGATAGAGGAATAGATGGACAAATCCCCCATATCTCCCAAATCCCCAGCCCAACCCAAAGCTGAGATCTGGGCTGTGGGCAGGATGCAATTTGGCTCTTGATCTGAGAGCTCTGGCCCTGTTATGCCCCCAGGCTCCCCATCACTTCCCATCATCCTCTACCAAGAAGGCTTTGGGCTTGTTTATGCCATGGTGCATTGATCTCTTTTGGCACAACTGTCTGCCCAGTGGAAACCCACAGCAGCTCCTGGCTCCAATATGGTGACTCAGAGCTGTGGTGACACAGCCACTGCCCCATGAGGGACACCGGGTTCTGGCAGCCATCTCCTGTGGATGGATTTGTGCTCGGGTTTCTCTGGAGGATTTGTTCCTAATTGCAATGTGCTCTGGTTGCAAAAAGGAGCTATCGCAATGCACGCATGTGCACACTCTGCTCTCTGTTTGAATCAGGAGCTCAGCATTTCTGACTGGCCAAACAGGACCTCCAAGGGAAGGTAAAAACCAGGCTCCCTTCCTCAGGTGTGCAGGGAGCAGTGGGCACCTGTGACCGCATCACCCTGGGATCTGAAGCCTCTGAGTCCAGCCACCACGATGCCCTCCAGGCTCTGTGAAGAGATGATGATGCGGCATGAGATGTGAACACCTGAGCCCCCAAATCCTGCCCTGGAAATGACAATCCACGTGCTGCTTGTGGCACTGCTGCTGATGCCATCTCCCTGCTGCCACCCTATCAAAAGCCCACACTGCCTCAGGTCATCAGTGTGCCCCTGTCCCCATCCCTTATGGCACTCGGGCAGCTCCAACCCCCAGCTCTGAATCAATGCCCCCAGCTGCCTTTCCCCAGCGCTGCCCCAATTCCCTGTCACCTCCCAGCTCTTGCACAAAGGCAGTGCTGGCCCTACACACTCCAAGCCCGCTGCCTCATGGCGTGCACACCGGCTCAAATATCCCTGCTGGTTCCCACAAGCAGCTCAGCCTTTCCAAAGCTCAGCCCTCGAGCTGGGAGGAGGCAGCACCCTGAGCCTGCCAAACTAATGAGAAGCGCATGGGACCCACATCTGGTAGCGATTGAGGGGGGAGCAGCGTTGGGAACGAAGGAAGCACATATTTCCTGCAGCACAAAGGAAGGGAGAGGAATGTTCACAGCAGAGCAGAACAGAGTTGGGGCCCTGGGGCGCAGGTCCTTCCCGCAGGCTGCTCCTTCACTTGGGGTAGGGGCACAAAGGCACGAGCAGCATCAGATCTGCAGACCCTCGTGCCAGCAATGGGGTTATGCTCCCACTAGAAACAGATTGGGAGCAGAAAACACAGAGCCAGCAAACTGCCTGAGAAGGGTTACGGGCTGGAGAGATCAAGGCAAGGGCTGCTCTGTGCTGCAACAACAGGAACGTGACTGGGACAGGGACAAGGCAGGGTTGTGCTCAGCAGAACGGAGGCCACATGGTACCACAGCACCACGTCAGGGCACTTGGTCCTGTGCTGGTACTGGGTGGGGTCCTGGCTCCCATCCCTGCTCATCCAAAGCTGCTGGAGGATTTGCAGGTTATATGGCCACAGCTACACAAAAACAGGGCCTTGGGGCAGCAAAATGCTGCCTGGTTGGGATGCAGGTGAGGCAGGGTGAAAACCGAAACATCCAAAGCTGAGTGTCTCATCCCACGAGGAAGCTGATTTAAAAACTGCAAGGAGGTGCAAGTCCTGTCAGCCACTGCACAGCGGGAGCCCTGCTCTGCCTGGCTGTTTGTGACACCCCTGATGGCATGGGGACACCAGGGCTTGCCATTGTGGCTGTAGCCCTTTCCAAGAGAGCTGAGCTGGAGCTGTGCAAGGCACTTCAGCGACATCCCCAGCATGTAGCAGCAGTCACCCAGCAGGGAGCACAGGAGCCAGCCCACAGGTAAGGACTGCAAACAGCACCCAAACTCACACATCTAGCCACAGCTCTCAGCACATCTTTGTGGCAGAGGATGGGGACAGAGGTCCTGGGGTGGTGAAGCCAGTGTACCAGCAGCACTCTGGTACTCTGCACTGCCCCAGCCAAGCTGAGCACCACAACTAATCCCTTTAAATTAAAAGCCTATGTTTTCCATCCCCTACAACCTCAGCTGTAAGCAGCCAGGCTCTGCTCCACGGCTCTGCCTTTGGCAGCTGCAGCTCAGCAAAAACTCTTTGGCAGCTCCTGAGAACAGAGTTAGGAAAATGTAGGTGGATTTGCCTGTTAAAAATACATGGTGAGAGTGAGAGGGATTCATCATCATCCCACCCAAAGCCTGGGATTTGGGGATCACCCTCTTTGAGTGGAAAAAGGAGGCAGCCAAGCAAAACCCAAAGGGATGATTGATATTCAGGGACACTGCAGGGATACCCCGTTTTCCCTGGGCATGTTCCGTGTTCTTCTTTGCCCAAGGAGGCTGTGGATGCCCCATCCCTGCAGGCATTCAAGGCCAGGCTGGATGTGGCTCTGGGCAGCCTGGGCTGCTGGTTGGCGACCTGCACACAGCAGGGGGTTGGAAATGAGATGATCATTGTGGTCCTTTGCAACCCAGGCCGTTCTGTGGTCCTCTAACATGGACAC